GGGGGGGGGGGGGAAGCGTCCAGACTGGAAGGGGGGGGGGAAGCGTCCGGACTGGAAGGGGGGGGGGGGGAAAGCGTCCGGACTGGAAGGGGGGGGGAAAAGCGTCCGGACTGGAAGGGGGGGGGAAAAGCGTCCGGACTGGAAGGGGGGGGGGGAAGCGTCCGGACTGGAAGGGGGGGGGGGAAGCGTCCGGACTGGAAGGGGGGGGGGGAAGCGTCCGGACTGGAAGGGGGGGGGGGGGAAGCGTCCGGACTGGAAGGGGGGGGGGGAGGAGCGTCCGGACTGGAAGGGGGGGGGGAGTAAGCGTCCGGACTGGAAGGGGGGGGGGGGGAGAAGCGTCCGGACTGGAAGGGGGGGGGGGGGGAGAAAGCGTCCGGACTGGAAGGGGGGGGGGGGGGGGAAAAGCGTCCGGACTGGAAGGGGGGGGGGGGGGGAGAAAGCGTCCGGACTGGAAGGGGGGGGGGGGGGGGAGAAAGCGTCCGGACTGGAAGGGGGGGGGGGGAGAAAGCGTCCGGACTGGAAGGGGGGGGGGGGAGAAAGCGTCCGGACTGGAAGGGGGGGGGGGGGGAAAGCGTCCGGACTGGAAGGGGGGGGGGGGGAGAAAGCGTCCGGACTGGAAGGGGGGGGGGGGAGAGAAAGCGTCCGGACTGGAAGGGGGGGGGGGGTTCGGACTGGAAGGGGGGGGGGGAGAAAGCGTCCGGACTGGAAGGGGGGGGGGGAGAAAGCGTCCGGGAAGGGGGGGGGGGGAGAAAGCGTCCGGACTGGAAGGGGGGGGGGGGGGGGAAAGCGTCCGGACTGGAAGGGGGGGGGGGGGGGGAAAAGCGTCCGGACTGGAAGGGGGGGGGGGGGGGGAGAAAGCGTCCGGACTGGAAGGGGGGGGGGGGGGGAGAAAGCGTCCGGACTGGAAGGGGGGGGGGGGGAGAAAGCGTCCGGACTGGAAGGGGGGGGGGGGAGAAAGCGTCCGGACTGGAAGGGGGGGGGGGGGGGAAAGGGGAAGGGGGGGGGGGGGAAAGCGTCTGGACTGGAAGGGGGGGGGGGGGGAAAAGCGTCCGGACTGGAAGGGGGGGGGGGGGAGAAAGCGTCCGGACTGGAAGGGGGGGGGGGGGGGAGAAAGCGTCCGGGCTGGAAGGGGGGGGGGGGGGGAGAAAGCGTCCGGACTGGAAGGGGGGGGGGGGGAGAAAGCGTCCGGACTGGAAGGGGGGGGGGGGGAGAAAGCGTCCGGACTGGAAGGGGGGGGGGGGGGAGAAAGCGTCCGGACTGGAAGGGGGGGGGGGGAAAGCGTCCGGACTGGAAGGGGGGGGGGGGGGGAGAAAGCGTCCGGACTGGAAGGGGGGGGGGGGGGAGGGAGAAAGCGTCCGGACTGGAAGGGGGGGGGGGGGGAGGGAGAAAGCGTCCGGACTGGAAGGGGGGGGGGGGGGGAGGGAGAAAGCGTCCGGACTGGAAGGGGTTAATGCCGGGTGGCAGTGTGATTTCTCTATAATGTGATTGCATACTGAAAGCAGCAGTCACATGATCCCTCTTGCTCCCAATCAGAAGCAGTGACACAACCTGGGGCCGCCACCGACTCATAAATGCAGCGTCTGGGCATCAAAGACGACATTTCCTGCCACTGCATATATATCTTCCTCTGTCTGCAAGCAGCTAAAAATAAACGGATTAATGAGATTCCAATTTCGTATCCAATTTAAATCCTGTATAATCATTTAGTAGGATTCCTGTATATTTTAGTGTGAATGTCGGTGCCGTTTGGATCCCTTTCCATTGCACTATGTAAAGCGATCTTCACATTGACAGATTACCCCACAAGGCACTGTGCTGCCATTAATGGATTCAGTGTTATCCCAATCTCTGGAAGAAGTAGAAACCCTTTTTAGAAGAACAATAATTCCTGCCAGCATCGAACATGTGTACTTGTCTATGCAGACTACCATGACGCAACGGTCTCCCATCACAATGACATGGAATGGGGAAAGTTGGGCCAGTATGTAAAACCTGGTTTTCATGTGTCTATATTTTATCTTTCTTTCCAGAAGAAATGGCTGTTAATGTTTATTCCACATCAGTGACAAGTGACAATCTGAGTCGTCATGACATGCTGGCATGGATCAACGAATCTCTGCAAGTCAACCTGACCAAGATAGAGCAACTCTGTTCAGGTAACATGCATGAAAATCTCATACTTCACGGATAAACATGAGAAACGGTTGTCCCTTTTCTTTGGAAAATGGGTTTCTTTGGAAAACGCAGCCTGCACTGGAACCTCGGTCCCCAGTACGGTTGCGTTTTCCAGTGCGGGCGGCGTGCCATTAGAACTAATGGCATCTTCCCGGGGGTCCGCAGTTCTCCTTGCGGGTGGTGCGGCTGCACGGATTTTCATGTGGATCCGCAGCGGCACCACCCGCACAGATGTGAACCGGGGGTCAAGGCACTTTACTTGCGGGAAGAGTGCACAATAAGAACTGTCCTGAAAACCCTTAATACATGGGACACTCAGAGTACATAAAGCCGTCCCACATCATCACTTTGGGTTGAGCACCCTCTTGAAGGCGTGGGTGTGGGTTTTGCACAGGCAATGAAAACCTGACAGGGGTTCTTGCCACTGTCCAGAACAAAGGCTTTTAACCACTTTCCAACCGCGCTATAGTTGAATGACCGCTACAACGTGGTTGTCTTGTCCTGGGAGGGCGCCAGATGACGTCCTCCGAGAATGCGCCCTCCCGCACGCACCTAACTGGCTATCTCCGTGATCACTGTGTCCTACAGACACAGCTGATCATGTGATGTGGCAAAAGGCCAATCACAGTGGCCTTTTACCATGTGATCAGCTGTGTCCAATGACACAGCAGATCATCAGTAAATGCAGTTGCCGGTTAGCAGCTGCATATCCCTCACGTTGTCACAGCATGAGGAAAGTACTGCCGATAACCAGCAATTGTCAGAGGACGGATCGGCACCGATTATTGGGTCACTGATGATCAGTGCCACCCTCAATTGCCCAGCAGTGCCACCCACCTGTACCCATCAGTGCCTAGTAGTGCCACCCACCTGTGCTGCCCAGCAGTGCCGCCACTTAGTGCCCAGTAGTGCCGCCTATCAATGCACATCAGTGAAGGAGAAAAATTACCTGTTTGCAAAATTTTTTAATAGAAACAAACGTTTTTTTTTTTTTCAAATTTTTTTGCTTTTTTTTTTTTTTATAGCGCAAAATATTAAACACCCAGCGGCGATTAAATACCACCAAAAGAAAGCTCTATTTGTATGAAAAAAAAGATAAAAATAAAAAAAAGAGGATATAAGTGCCCAGTAGGCATGCGCACGCTCCCAGCACACATGTTCGGTATTCACGGAAAGGTACCAATCTCCTCTCTTGATTGGGACCTTTCCCGATCATGTGACCACTGTGACGTAGTGTCACGGCGGTCACGACTCCAAACCCCACCCTGCCTCCCGGTTTCTGAAACCACTAAAGGGCCGGGGAGGTGCAGGCGCCAAGGGGTTAAGGTATACAAATTTTGTAAGAAAAATTAATAATAGCGCCTATGGTCAAAATTATATAACTTACTAATAGTGTACCAGCTGCAAAAAATCACCATATATAAAGTGTACCAATAAATAAATAATTTGCGCTAGTAAATGTGTGTAAAAAGAAATCATCAAATCATAAGTCCAGAAAAAAATATATCCAGAAAAAAATATATATATGCCAATACCACAAAAAAAAATAAAAAAACTTTTAAGTGCAAAAAACATTTGTGCAAAAAAAGTGTCTAAATATGAAAAAAATTTTTCACCAAAAAACCTTGATAATATAATGGCAGATCATCCGTAAATATATCTTCAGAAACGGAAACTCTGCAACACACCGATCCTCATCGATCGAAATAACAGGATGAAAAACTTTGTAGTTAATCGAAAATCCACTTCTCCAATAGATAAAGGACCACCTTCAAACGTATCCATGGGGGGAAATGCCAAGCACTCGAGAGAAACAGAAAGACTTCATGGTGCAATATTATAAAAACCAATTCCTTTATTAGGTACTCATTGCACTTACTCAAGAGGTGTCCCAGCCGACACCAGCATCAACAGCATAACAGCAATCACATAAACGAGCCTGGCTACTCAGCACATGCGCAGTAGCTGGCAGCCAAAAACGTAATGACGTCACATCAATCAAGCTCCGCCCTACGCGTTTCGTCATCGACGTCCTCACGGAGCGGAGTGAGTGAGGACGTCGATGACGAAACGCGTAGGGCGGAGCTTGATTGATGTGACGTCATTACGTTTTTGGCTGCCAGCTACTGCGCATGTGCTGAGTAGCCAGGCTCGTTTATGTGATTGCTGTTATGCTGTTGATGCTGGTGTCGGCTGGGACACCTCTTGAGTAAGTGCAATGAGTACCTAATAAAGGAATTGGTTTTTATAATATTGCACCATGAAGTCTTTCTGTTTCTCTCGAGTGCTTGGCATTTCCCCCCATGGATACGTTTTGAAGGTGGTCCTTTATCTATTGGAGAAGTGGATTTTCGATTAACTACAAAGTTTTTCATCCTGTTATTTCGATCGATGAGGATCGGTGTGTTGCAGAGTTTCCGTTTCTGAAGATATATTTATGGATGATCTGCCATTATATTATCAAGGTTTTTTGGTGAAAATTTTTTTTTTCATATTTAGACACTTTTTTTTGCACAAAATTTTTTTGCACTTAAAAGTTTTTTTTTATTTTTTTTTGTGTGGTATTGGCATATATATATTTTTTTCTGGACTTATGATTTGATGATTTCTTTTTATACACATTTACTAGCGCAAATTATTTATTTATTGATACAAATTTTGTGCACCTTAAACTTTTACTGGCCCCCATTGGTGAACTCTCTCTCTCTAATTGTTTTTTTTTTATATTTATGTTTTAGATCTTATGCAGGCCATAGACGGTTCGTTTATCGGGCGATTTTTTTTTTTTTTTTTTTTTTTTTTTTTTTTTTTTTTTTTCCCCATCTGAAAGAATAATCGGCCATTGGTCGATTTTTGCGGTTCCTCATTTCGTTTATTGGTCATGCTGGAAAATTTGTGAAAAACTGACAATTTTTGCAATCATTGGTGGCAACATCGGTTTACAGAACGAACGATGTTTCGTTTTTTTTCGTACGGAAAATCGGACAATAAACAGTCTATGGCCTGCATTAGTTTGCCTTGTGTTGTGACCGGGCATTGTTAGGTTCCCTTTGTCACGGACAGTTCAGTTTCAGTCATTTGCAGCCTTCTCTTATTTGGCTTCTGTGTTTGTTGCTCGGTGACCCTCCTCATTCATTGTCACATTTTTAGTAACAATCCTTGCTTTGTTGTCTGTGAGAATGCTAAATTACTGGCCAGATGAGACTACGGGGTAAAATCGTTAGAGCTTCCACTGCTCGGTCAACTGAACGTTTTTGTTGTCCTTTTATTATTTTTTTTATTGTGTTAATTCCTCTTCTAAGCTTTTGAAGACTTTTATCCTCTGTGTGTTTGTGAGGTTTTTTGCTTTTAAAGATCTGTTTTTCAGACAAGACCGCCAACACACAATAATCAGCATGTATGCGTTCATCACTGAACATTCCAGTTTGTAGAGCAGTCCTAGAAAGCGGCATCGGAACAATGCCAGCCATTGTAAGGGGTTATAGATGTCTCAGGACAGTTTGGGTTGGAACTGCGTTGTTCAAATAAAAAGGAAGGTGAAGGAATGGAGCCGGGGCTGCCGTGACCACGGTGTTTATAGGAGAGCAAGTAGCCTGTCTATACAAACCGGACGTCTGTGGCTGGCATCAGTGGCCTAGCATTGCCATGATTTTATTCTTTGTGGCTGGCATCAGTGGCCTAGCATTGCCATGACTGTATTTTTTCTTTTTGTGGCTGGCATCAGTGGCCTAGCATTGCCATGACTGTATTTTTTCTTTTTGTGGCTGGCATCAGTGGCCTAGCATTGCCATGACTATTTTATTCTTTTTGTGGCTGGCATCAGTGGCCTAGCATTGCCATGATTTTATTCTTTGTGGCTGCCATCAGTGGCCTAGCATTGCCATGACTGTATTTTTTTCTTTTTGTGGCTGGCTGGCATCAGTTGCCTAGCATTGCGATAAAGGCTGTGAAAGCAATCATTTCTCCTCTCTGGCTGCATTCCTACAGCCATTGAGAAATACTGTGTGAGCTGCGATTGGTCACATGGTACAAGGCTGTTGTGAATAGCCCTGTACCATGTGATCCTTCACAGATTTCACACGTAGTAAGCATTGATGTCAGAAGTGACATCTTGCTTACACTTATTTATGTGATCACTGATTGGCCAATCAGTGATCACATGATCAGTACCTCGCACAGAGGGTCCCGTACAACGTGCAGGTGATTGGCTAATCAGTGATCACATGATCAGGACCTCGCACAGAGGGTCCCGTACAGCGTACAGGTGATTGGCTAATCGGTGATCACATGATCAGGACCTCGCACAGAGGGTCCCGTACAGCATGCAGGTGATTGGCTAATCAGTGATCACATGATCAGGACCTCGCACAGAGGGTCCCGTACAGCGTGCAGGTGATTGGCTAATCAGTGATCACATGATCAGGACCTCGCACAGAGGGTCCCGTACAGCATGCAGGACACAGCGGGTACCGGATTGTGGTGCCGCGCACTCATGGAGCACGCTCAATCCAAAATGGTGACGCCGTTTATGAATGGCAACCCGCCCCTGCACTGCCATTGTCTGGCCGTTTTATATACAGCGGCCGGACGGGAAGTGGTTAAACTGGTACTTTAGTATAAAAATCATCATCTGTGAACAGGTCGGCTTTCTGATCTAGAATAGACCTACTACAATAAAATATTCTGCCTGTAGTGTACTCCCAGCTGCACATGCTCAGTGTAGTGTGTTATTTTGGCATATGCTGAGATAATTGAACTCTGCACATGTGCAGGAGTGATGTCATCTCAGCCTAGCCAATCAAAATGACCAAAGAAAAAATGCTAGAAGAAGACCACCGAAGCTGTGAGCACCTGGTGATTGTTGTCCAGATGCTGCATCATTGTGGGGGGGGGGGGGGGGGGGGGGGGGTATAGTTCTGCTTTATGTCTCTTTTGACTAATGACCTAACTTGTACATATGTTACCCCCCTTCCTGGCTTGTTTGCTGACCCTCAGTGCTCTTTTTGTCCCCTAGGTAGCGTGTATTGTCAGTTCATGGACATGTTGTTTCCTGGATGCGTCACGCTAAAGAAAGTGAAATTCGGAGCCAAGCTGGAACACGAGTACATCCAGAATTACAAAGTCCTGCAAGCCGGCTTCAAGAAAATGGGTGTTGACAAAGTGAGTGCCATCTGATTGCTGTGCTATGGGAAGTTCCTGTTCACGGCTTCCTCCCCGTCTGTCAGTGTGCGGGTGATGTAAACAGGAAATTATTACTGAAAGAAGTATTTCTCCGACAAGTGAAGACTGGTTAGAGGCTTTTACTCACCATTTCATGTTTATGCCAAAGTATCATGGTTGCGTAAGTGCTAGTTTACTCAACTGTGGATCCTTTGTCTGTTTCTGCTGCCTATGGCAATGAAAACTGCAGTCCAGTTTGTTTTGAAGGTACTGAACAATGAGTTTGTACATGTGCTAGAAAGAAACCAAAAAAAAAAAGAATTTAGGGATGAACTCCAGGCTCACCTCTCCCTGATAATGTAGAGAGCACTGCTGATTAGACGTCAGCGATCCCCTGTGTGTCAGTATGAGTGATGTCACCTCAGGGGATGGGTCCATGACATCCTTCCCTCACAAGATGTCCTTTGTCTACGTGGTTGAATGACTGGCTGCGTTGTGCTGCTCTCTGTATCATACTGAACCCTCTCAGGAGGTGAGTCCATCATATTCTACATTAACAGCATTGCAGTTGGTCTTAGGGGTTGTGACACTTATGAGTTTGCAAGTTCCTGTGCACTCTGCAGCTTTTCCAGCTCTGCCCAGTTCACCTCTGGACTACAGAACACCTTCCCCTTACAGAAGAGGGGAATGTGGTGTTTAGTAATGTGCACTCTGTGGCCTTACCAGCTGTGCCCAGTTCACCTCTGGACTACAGAACACAGGCTTTGGTACACTTTAAAGCAGGTTTTAAAAATAGCATAAGGGAGGGTAATAATCCCTGTCAGTTGTTTGTTTTTTGTTTTTTTTGTCCCATTAAGGAGGTTTATCTTCACTTTCATCCCACAGGCAAAACAGAAGTGAGAGGAAATCCCTGCAAATTAAGGGAGTCAGCAGAACTAGTGTCCCCAGTGGAAGATCTGTCCTCTCTTACTGTCCTGGGAACAATCCTGCAAAATTTGGGGGGGGGGGGGGGAGAATAAATTAAAAAAAATGTGTGTGTGTGTATATATATGTGTATATATGTGTGTATGTATGTACACACCCACACACACGTATTTGCTCCCCTGCTGATGTTGAATGTTCGCCCCTCACAAATGATCGGTCTACAAATCTAATGTTTGGTGTAACACTGAGAGACAGAATAGCAACAAATTCAGCAGAAATGCATCTAACAAATGATGACTGATCTGCATGTTCATGAGGGAAATACGTATTTGATCCCCTATCATTCAGCAGGATTTCTGGCTCCCAGGTGTCTTTCATACAGGTAACAAGCTGAGATTAGAAGCAGTCTCTTAAAGGGAGTGCTGCTAATCTCATTGTGTTACCTGTATAACAGACACCTGTCCACAGGAGCAATCAAACCATCAGATTCCAAACTCTCCACCATGGCAAAGACCAAAGAGCTGTCCAAGGATGTCGGGGACAAGATTGGTAGACCTACACAAGGCTGGACTGGGCTACCAAACTATGGCCAAGCAGCTTGGTGAGAAGGTGACAACAGTCGGTGCAATCATTCCCAAATGGAAGAAACACAACTGTCAGTCTCCCTAGGTCTGGTGCACCATGCAAGATCTCACATTTTTATTTTTTATTTATTATTTTTTCCTTCAATGATCATGGTAAAAAAAGGACAAACAGAGGGTCAATTTCCCTTACGGTGACACAAACAGCAGCAAAAACCTGTCGGGGTTCTAATCCCTCTCCTCTGTACCTTTTTTGGCTTTACTTTAAAGTAGTTATCTTGGGGCTAAAATACTTTTTTTCCTGATGAAAACGCTGCCCCAGTTTCCCTCCTGTGCCACTCCTAATCAAAATCTTAAAAAAAAAAATACTTTTTTACAATGTTACTTTAGGCCCCTTTTCACATGATTGGTCTGATCGGGTCCGCCTGTCAGTTTTTCAGGTATACCTGATCGGACCCTCTATTCACCCCTAGGGAGCTGCAGGGGCGGACTGACCATTTGGGAACTCTGGCACTGCCCGAGGGCCTGGGGTCAGTAGGGGGCCCCATGAGATGCCCCTGGTACCTTTTTCATAGGCTTTTTTGAGTTTGGGCAAGGACACAGGGGCCCCATGATCCCCTATTGCCTGGGGGCCCCCATGAGTTGTCAGTTCACCCCTGTTGCCCGGGGGCCCCATGAGTTGTCAGTCCACCCCTGTGCGGGTGTAAACAGACTTCTGTTGTTTTGATACTGATATTCTTGTCGTGCATCACTAGTGATTATCTTTTTGTCTTTTTCAGTGGTTTTTTATTAACTTAACAGTTTAACGCAGGAGCAACAAATCACACCCACGCAGGGGCTATCAATTGCACATAACTTTTTGTCTTTTTTAATAATTAATCCCCCCCCCCCCCCCTGTCTGGGTCATATAGATGTTGTTTTGTATTCGCTTCTTCTGTCAAGCACGTTCTATTTTGATAAAACTTTAATAAAAAACTATAATAACAAAAAAAAAAATAAGACTTGTGTCCGTTTACACCTGCCTACCTCCAGTCAGGTCCGCTAAAAAAGTGGAAGGGGATCCGTTCCCCTCGGTCTAGGCGGATTGGAGGGCAGTCTGGCGTAAGCGGCTGTCTGTTGACACGTGACTGCCCATAGAGTGGAGCAGGCTGTGTCCGCTCTGCATATACTGACCTGTCATCCGCTCTGCTCTGCTCAGTGGACCTATCCCCTGCTGAGCAAAGTGGATTTTGCCCCGGGACCTAATACTTTGTTACAATGTTACATTCTTATTATTACTATTATTATTATATATATTTTTATTTTTTTTTTTTTCTATTTTTAATGTCTTATTTCTGTAGATAATTCCAGTTGACAAATTGGTGAAAGGAAAGTTCCAAGACAACTTTGAATTTATACAGTGGTTTAAAAAGTTTTTCGATGCAAATTACGACGGAAAAGACTATGACCCAGTGGCTGCCAGACAAGGACAAGATTCAAATCCCGCTCCAGTTCTCCCAACTCCAGTCCTGAACAAACCCAAGAAACCCATTGGATCAACAAATTCAGGTATGTGGGAGGGAGGGGAGTTGGCTGTAAATGCGTCATCTGTACTCAGAGCAGCCAGTAAGGTTTTTGCTGAGGGCAGTGTGGCGTCAAAGGCTTCCTTTATTTATTCATGTCGTATAGAAGGGTCCATTAGTGAAAAGGTAAATGTCTTCAGTTGTTTGTGTTCAGTCTTGTACAGGAGGGTTGCTGAGAGGAGGTTTATGTGTCCCGGGGCTTGGGGCCTTTTTTCTGCTTCTGCCACTCCCAGTGTTGCTCGGGGATCTGTAGCGTGCATCAGGAGATTGCATAGTTTGTAATGGGTTTTCATGTCTCTAGACTGGCATGTTCAATGTCCGAGGTGCCTACTTGTGTGTTATGCAGCTCTGTACAAACACTACGCTGCCCATAGTATATTTATTATTTATTTCAGGTACTTATATAGCGCCGTCAATTTACGCAGCACTTTACATATATATTGTACATTCACATCAGTCCCTAACCCTCAAGGGGGCGCGTCAAGGGGCGTACAATCTAAGGTCCCTAACCCTCAAGGGGCGTACAATCTAAGGTCCCTAACCCTCAAGGGGCGTACAATCCAAGGTCCCTACCTCAACCCTCAAGGGGCGTACGATCCAAGGTCCCTAACCCTCAAGGGGGCGTACGATCCAAGGTCCCTAACCCTCAAGGGGGCGTACGATCCAAGGTCCCTAACCCTCAAGGGGGCGTACGATCTCAGGTCCCTAACCCTCAAGGGGGCGTACGATCTCAGGTCCCTAACCCTCAAGGGGGCGTACGATCTCAGGTCCCTAACCCTCAAGGATTATATTAGGTAAGGGTTACATATTAGGGCCAATTTAGACAGGAGCCAGTTCAGTTCACCTACCAGCATGTCTTTGGAGTGTGGGAGGAAGCCAGAGTACCCGGAGGAAATCCACGCAGGCACAGGGAGAACATGCAAACTCCAGGCAGGTGGTGCCGTGGTTTGGATTCGAACCAACGACCCGAGTACTGCCAGGCGGAAGTGCTAACCATTTAGCCACTGTGCTGCCTAGACTTACTCCTGCTTAGCAGCTTTTAAAGGATAGGTTCACCTTTCGTAACATATTACATCCATGTTCAGGGTGTAACATGTTATGTTCAGACTTGCCCTTCGCTTTGACAGTTAGTGGGGGATCTTCTCCCTCCTTAGCTGTCAAATTTAAAAAAAAAAAAAAAAAAAAAAAAAAAGTGGTCCTGCAGGGCCACACACATGGCCACGTCACTCATTCACAGTCCTCTGTGAATGAGACTACAAGGACCAACGGCCTTAGCGGCTGTCAGCTTGTAGTTCATTCATTCTTCCTGTCAGTATATCTGCTTTCCCATAGGGCAAGCAGATATCCTGACAGGTCTTCAGGAGACCTGCATGACACCATTGGTCTACTGATCGCTGGTGCAATGCTTTCCAGGCTCCTTTGGACATTTTTTTAAATGTATATATTTTTTTTTATTTTACCTGCAAAAAAAAGTGCATTTACCCTTTTTTTTTTTTTTTTTTTTTTTTTTCTTTTCTAAAAGGTGAACTTATCCTTTTGAACATTTAACACTTATGTAATTAAGGAGAAGTTGTGGTAGTGGGTAGTTACAGAAGAACTGTAGTCTGTGTGTTTTTGTGGTCTAGCTGCAATTATTAAAGGTCAGATGTAGTAGAAGTCAAAATAATCCTAAGCTGGCCATACAGTATACAATCGTCTTATTCAGTTTCCTTTCAGTTTACCTTCAGCTATGTAGTGCAGTGACTTGTCTGATTGCATAAATGTTTACCATTGTACAAGAATATTGTATAATGTATGGCCAGCTATACTGGCTTTACTTGTGGTCTACCCCCACAGCCATCTCTGCCAATGTAATCGGGACCCTTTAGATTTCTGGGAAATAAGCATCCAATTGTACCGAACCAAATAATAAATTGCGCACTCACCAGATGCGCAAAGTTATTGCGCATTTGAGAAAACAATATCTCAGAAGGTCAGCTGAAGTGTCTTAAAGGGGCCTCTACCGTCTGGTATGGATTTCTCCCTGGATAGCTCGTGGATGACAGCAGCTTCTCTCTCCTTTGCAAAGAACTCTGCGGATGGTTGGACTCCTAAAGAGTCCAAAAAAAGGAGGAGGCCACATAGCGTGATACTGCTTCAAATTTTTAATAATCCAGTCACAGGTACAAAATGTAAGGCAAATTAAAATCAAAAAGACATTGACTGTGTGTATAGGCAAGATGGCTGCCGGACCACCACAGAGCCTCGGCAGCGTGACGTCACAGCGGCGTAGCTCCTAGCTGACGCGTTTCGTGCAAACACACATACTCATAGGGCGTATGCTATACCTTTTTATAACATTACGCCCAAATTCAGGGTGTGACATGTTATGAAATGACATCTTCTCCCTAGCTCCCTACTAGCTGTCAAAATTGTTTAAAAAATGCGGCCGCACAGAGCTCCCCCAGCCGCATCACTCATTCACAGTATCCTGTGAATGAGAAACTACAAGTCCCAACAGCTTTAGTGGATGCCTGCTTGTAGTTCTCAATGAAGTACTACAGTGTTGTGGTAGTTTGTTTCCTTCCTGTCAGTCAGCATTCGCTTGCCTATATGAGGTACGCGCAAGCAGAGGGCCAAATTGTTGGTACCGTGCTTTACAGGCTCCTACAACAACAAAAAAAAGTAATAAATGCACATTTTTTTTTTTTCTTTTTACATTCAAAACAATCTTTATTATTTTTTTGTTGAGAGAACAACTTATCCTTTTAAGTCCTCTAAATAACAAGGTGGGTCCTCCATGGGTCGGGCTTGATTTTCCCGCACATCCCACAGGTTATCAATTGGATTGAGATCTGGAGAATTTGGAGAACAAGACAACACCTCCAAAAAAAAGTGACTCCCCAAACAGACCCACCTTCTTCCATTGCTCCGCGGTCCGATTCTGATGCTCACGTGTCCATTGTAGGCGCTGTGGACAGCATGAGCTCCTTGACCGGTCTGCGGCCACACAGCCCCGTACGCCGCAAACTGCAATGTCTATTCTCACCCCCCCTTTCTGCTTTCAGCACATCAACTTCAGGGATAACATGTTCACTTGCTGCCTAATATATACCATCCACTTTCAGATGTCATTGCAACACGATAATCGATGTTGTTTACTTAAAGTGGAGTCCACTCACGCTGTCAAAAAGTAAAAGTCAGCAGCTACAAAAACTGTAGCTGCTGACTTTTAAAAGACAGCCACTTACCTGTCCCTCGGTCCCATGGTGTGTCCCCCGCAGCCCATTTTACCGGCCGTCCTGTATTCCAGGAGGCCGGCATCTTCAGTATGGGCACCCGGCTGTGATAGCTTGTGGCTTCACAGCCGGATACCCACTGCGCATGCGCCAGTAGAGCTACGCTTTGTGAATGGTCCCGTAGTCTTCTGGGACCTGTCATGTGTCCCAAAAGACTACAGGGAGGAGGGAGGGAGGACACCTTTCGCATAGGCCAGGGGTAGGCAACCTGCGGCGTTCTAGCTGTTGTGAAACTACATTTCCCATGAGGCATTGCAAAGATTACAAAACTGACAGTTACAGCTATGACTTGCAGAGGCATGATGGAACATACAGTCCTGCGACTCTCAGGTTGCCTACCCCTGGCCTAGGCAATCGGACCGGAAGTGGGATCACCTGTAAAATTTGGGTATCCGCTCCCAAGCCCCCCAAAGGTGCCAATCCTTAATGGGGAGCGGGGGGAGCAGTCGTTAAAGCGGAACTTCCCCTTTTGGGTGGAGCTCCGCTTTAACCTGTCGGCGTTAATAAAGTTATGGCTGATTGGTATATAAACATGTCTGGAGGAAGAGGTGATTGGTGGGCACTAATCGGGTGTCTCTCTGCATTTGTTTACCACCATACAAAAGCTTTTGGGGGTCTATTTTTATTTCAATGAATAGAGATCTGTAAACAATGACTTGATTCACGGTTTCTTTTTATGTCAATGTCTGAGGAAAGTAAAATCTGGTTCGAATGTGACCAGACAGAGGATAGTGTTGGGATTGTCAATGGCACTGATCAATGAATACTGTACCTTCTACAGATGAGTCTGGTGAGACAAAACTTCCAAAAGCTGCCGAAGACGGAAGGAAAATGGCTAAGATTGGTACTTGTTTGTCAGGGAGAGGGGTGCACATTGGGGTGGAGAGGGGTGCACATTGGGGTGGAGAGGGGTGCACATTGGGGTGGAGAGGGGTGCACATTGGGGTGGTGAGAGGGGTGCACATTGAGGTGGAGAGGGGTGCACAATGAGGTGGTTCAGCACAATTTCTGGGTTATGGTGCTTCCTTTGGCACATTTTCTGCTCTGTGGCTATGAGGGTCTCTGTGTGTAATATTTGTGTCTGTTCTTCAGCTCCACAGAGAGCCGTACCAGCCCAGAGAACCCCAGCGCCCAACAAACCTGCCCAGGGGATTGGCAGGAAACCTGGAGGTATTGGAAATGGAGAAGAGGAGTCTGCAGAACTAATCCAACAGGTAATGTAAAAAATGAATCTGTAGACGGCTGGGCTGGCACAGGAGACTTTACAGCTGTGCAAAGTCACAAAGTCCGACTCTAGTATCGATTTTAACTTTGATATCGATTCCGCACATTTCTGGCGGGATTGCAGCTGCTTGTTTGTAACCTCCCTCTCGTGCTCCGGTGTTTGTAGTTTAAGCTGGGTTCAAGGAAACATCTTAACCTGCCTTTTTCAACACCAAGCAATTACTTATTGGGTAACCATACCATGTTAGAGGCACAATAAGGTGCCGGATTGAGACTTGCTAAAGCGTTTTCTATATAAACACATTTTAAGTCAAACAGCGATAAAACACCTCAGTGTGAGATTGAGTAAAGTTACTAAACCCCCGGACCCTGCATTCACTATATCTGCTCTCCCCCGGGCCCCCCGCAGTGCCTGTATCTGGCCTCCCCGGGCCCCCCGGGCCCCCTCCCCGGGCCCCCCGCGGGTGCCTGTATCTGGCCTCCCCGGGCCCCCCGCGGTGCCTGTATCTGGCCTCCCCGGGCCCCCCGCGGTGCCTGTATCTGGCCTCCCCGGGCCCCCCGCGGTGCCTGTATCTGGCCTCCCCGGGCCCCCGCGCAGTGCCTGTATCTGGCCTCCCCGGGCCCCCCGCGGTGCCTGTATCTGGCCTCCCCGGGCCCCCCGCGGTGCCTGTATCTGGCCTCCCCGGGCCCCCCGCGGTGCCTGTATCTGGCCTCCCCGGGCCCCCCGCAGGTGCCTGTATCTGGCCTCCCCGGGCCCCCCGCGGTGCCTGTATCTGGCCTCCCCGGGCCCCCCGCGGTGCCTGTATCTGGCCTCCCCGGGCCCCCCGCGGTGCCTGTATCTGGCCTCCCCGGGCCCCCCGCGGTGCCTGTATCTGGCCTCCCCGGGCCCCCCGCGGTGCCTGTATCTGGCCTCCCCGGGCCCCCCGCAGGTGCCTGTATCTGGCCTCCCCGGGCCCCCCGCGGTGCCTGTATCTGGCCTCCCCGGGCCCCCCGCAGTGCCTGTATCTGGCCGCCCCGGGCCCCCCGCAGTGCCTGTATCTGGCCGCCCCGGGCCCCCGCCCGTCGTGTCACAAGTCTAAAGCAAGTCCAGAAACAAAAAAGAAAACAAGACCGAGAACATATCTCAAGGCTGACTTTTAGGTTTAGACTCGTGCTGCTCTCATGCTTTCATATGATTTAGATTGCTCTAGGAACTCTTTCAGCCATCAAAAGTTGGGATTTATAGCTTTCCTTGTTCCAGGACCCTTCCCACATGTCTCTTAGGCTGGCCATACACTATACAATTTTCTTGAGAATTTTGCTTTATATTTACCAAAAACCATATAATATGAGGTCAAGCCTAAACAACACTTTCAGTTGTATCCAATTAGGCGGGCCTTTGCGCTACACAGTGAAAGGTAGATCTAAAGGAAATTGGCCCAAAAATTGAATAGTGTATGGCCATCTTTAGTGATCTCTGTTGGCCTGGCTGGGGTGACACAACTTCTGCATAAGGGCTTTAGGAGTTCATCCCTTCCAGGAGATTACCATGGTTGTATGCTGAGGCTTGCATGCTGTTTAAGTTTGCAAAAAGGAAGTATCCCTTTTTAGTTTTTTTTTTTTTTTTTTTTTTTTTCTTTCATGCAGAAGTGACCTGCGGTGTCTTATGAATAAAAGAAGAAAAAAAAAAGTTCCGCTTTTTAAAAGAGTTCTAGTTTACTGTCCCGTTAGACTTTCCTGCATACTCCATTTAGAAGGTTTTTTGTTTTTGGTGTTTTTTTTTCTTCATTTTGGGTTTGTCTTCAGTGTGTAATGTGGGCTTTGTACTTTTTTTTTTTGGCTTTTTCAGATAAATGTTCTTAAGATTACCGTTGAAGATCTAGAAAAAGAAAGAGACTTTTATTTCGGCAAGCTAAGGAATATTGAGCTGATTTGCCAAGAGAATGAGGGAGAGAGCGACCCAGTCCTTCAGAGGATCATAGAGATTCTGTACGCCACAGATGTAAGTATTCCTCCATCGGGACACCATTAAGACAAGGTGACAGGTCAGGGAGTGCTCCTGTCCTGGTTTGGTGGTGATCGTGTGCCTGAGCGCTACTTCCTCTGTCCATTACACAGATACCCTGCATGGCGGTGGGTGCTCTTGAGGAACTTGCCGTTTTAGAGCTCATGTATCCAGACAGTTATTGCCTATAACTTGTGTTGGAATTGTTTAACCTCTTCATGCCGGCCGCACGCAAATATCCGGCGTCTGGGCCTAGACGCTGAGCGGCCGCACATTTGCGCTCTATTAAAAAGGGACATATGTGCCAAGAGCATGCGCCCTGCGCACTCCCAGCACACATGTCCTGTACTCATGGAAAGGTCCCGATCTCCTCTTTCGATCGGGACCTTTCCCGATCATGTGCCCGCCGTCACGGCGGTCACATGTCTCTGAACCCCCCGCCCCCGGCTTCTGAAACTCTTAAAGGGCCGAAAGGTGCCGGCGTGAAGGGGTTAAAGCTCAAATCCATTTCCAACTTTTAGGTAAGATATTGATGCAAAAGCAGCTTTTAGTGCTTCTCATTCTTCTGTTCACATTGTTTAACCACTTCCAGTCCCGACGCTCTTACCTCCTTCCTGCCCAGGCCAATTTTCAGCTCTCAGCGCTCTCACACTTTAAATGACAATTGCGCGATCATGCAGCACCGCACACATGAATTTTTTAGCCTTTTTTGAGACAAATAAAACTTTATTTTGGTGGTGTTTATTCACCACTGGGATTTTTTTTTTTTTTTTGCTATATAACTGAAAGTCCAAACATTTCGAAAAAAAAGAGTTTTTCTTGTAAAATTTTGCAAATCTTTCTTCATAAATCTTGGGCAAAATTTATTCGATTATCTTTTTAGTAAAAAAAAAAAAACCCAAACTAGTTTACAACCAAAAATATATTAATATTCAAAATTGTGTGTGTTTATTATTTTTTTTTTTTCCATGCTGTCACCCTAGCAGTACAGTGTCACCCACAACTTGTGGGGGGTGGTGAAGATTTTTTTTTTTGGTTTTTTATATTGCTTTTACACCCATAAAGGCTATAAAAACAATAATTTCTCCTTCTCTCTGGCTGCATTCTTGCAGCCATTGAGAAATACTGTGTGAGTTGTGATTGGTCACAGCTTGTCACATGGTACAAGGCTTTTCTGAATAGCCCTGTACCATGTGACCTCTGTGATCATTCACAGATTTCCCAAGTAGAAAGCACATCTTTCAGGACATCTTGGTTACTACTGTTCATGTGATCACTGATTAGCCAATCAGCGATCACATGATCGGGACCTCACACAGAGGTCCCGTACAGTGATCGGTGTTCTGTGTCCTCCGGACACAGTGGGCACCGGATCGCAGTGCTGCACGCTCCCAGGGAGCGCACACAGGCTGTAAATGCTGGTGCCGTTTATGAACAGCAACCCGCTCCTGCACTGCTCCCGTCCGGCCCAACAGTCCTAGTTCAGTGCCTGCTTCCCATCCTAAGGTTTTTCTAAACCCAGCATCATCGAACCTTTCCTCTCTGTAGTTGTGTCTTGGCCACGCCTCCAGTAGCTCTCTGGATTTTGAGAGGGGCATTACCACACAATATTGGCTCAATGTGGACTTTTTTAAAGCATTTTAAGTTGAATGTAAAGACTTTTAAAACTCCAATTTATAATGTTATAATATTCACATCTTTTGGTGCAGTTTTAATGTTAGTGGCTGAACGGGGCCATCACAGCCATCATCTGCTGTTCTCACATTGTTGGTCCTCCTTGCCATCAGCTGCAGAAGTTGGAGTTTAGCGTTTACATAACCACACCTTAGGAGATTTGGGCTGGCCATACATTATACAATTTTCTTTTTTTTTTTTGCTTTAGATTTACCAAAATTGTATTGCAATGCTTGCAATGCGATCAGTGGAGCACAGAGGAGACCTTAGGGGTCTTTTAGACCCTGCATGTCTCATTAAAGAGAACCTGTTGCCCAAAAGTCATCACATAGTGGACCCCTATGTGTCGCCTATGTGATGCTAAAAAAAAAAAAAAAAATTTTATTGCAAAAAAAATAATTACACTTAAGCACTGAACATTTTCCCCCAAGGGCGCCTACGCGTGAAACCACTGATTGCGATACACATGTTGCATATCGGCACGCACGCCGTACTTCTATAACTAGACCTCCTCCGTAAACCCTAAACTGTAGACCTATAGGGGCTTTTGAAGTATTGCCTATAGAAAATGTAGGGTACTGAAGTTAGTCGCCACAGTGTGGTGCACAGAGTTAAGGTTTGACATGTTGGGTATCTATGCATCCTCGCCTTTTTATTATTATTATTATTATTATTATACAGTATTTATAAAGCGCCAATAGTTCGCTCAGCGCTGTACATTACAAAGGGAGACAGAACATGTGACAGAACAATACCAATACAATGCAAAACATGAGGGGATCGAGGGCCCTGCTCTTTCGAGCTTATTTTATATTTGATTACATTCATTAGCCCTAAAATTCACTTTCGTGTCTTTTTCTGAAATTTTGCATTTCTTAGACCTTTGCAGTAATATTGTGTGACATAAAAATTGGAACTACTACTGCATTATTGACGTGAAGATTACAAAAAACCCAAAAACTTTATATATTTTCTAACAGCAGACACCCTCCGGCAGGGGTGTCTGAACTACGGCCCTCCAGGTGTTGAGGAACTGCAAGTCCCTTGAGCCCTTGCAAGACTCTGGCATCCACAGGCAAGACTCCCAGAGACATGATGGGACTTGTAGTACGTCAGCAGCTGGCGGGCCATAGTTTGGATACCCCTGCTCTAGGGTGTCTGCTGTTAGAAAATATATAATGTTTTGGGTTGGTTGGTTTTTTTTTTTTTTTTTTTTTTTTGTAATCTTCAGGCCCAAAATTATTTTTTTAGACGTGTACAAAAAAAAATTTGCAAACACGGTTCTGGCAGCGAAAGGGTTAATACTGCTTTGAACTTGTCTGTAAACATGTGGTTGCATTGTGAGTCGGTCTGATCATTTTTTCTGTCTTCTCTCCTGCAGGAGGGTTTTGTTATTCCAGATGAAGGAGCGCCACCAGAGGACCAGGAAGAATATTAACGCGGTTCTTTTCCCATGCAGTCATTTTTTTGAATTTTTTTTTTTTTTTTTTTTTCGTTCACATCATGTGCTTAACTGTAAAAAAAAAAAAAAAAAAAAAAAAATTCCTTTTATTCTCGGAGGCCTGGGTCAGCTCCTCACTTTTCAGAAGTGTACTTTGCCAAAGTTTCACTCATTTTACAGCGGCTAAACCTTGGAGATGTCCCATTTTTTTGTAGCAAGAAAGTATTAAACTATCCCCCATTCCCTTTTTTTTTTTTTTTTTTTTCTTCTTCCCGGTTCCCACGGGAACGTTCAGTAAGGACTCTTGAAGGTTTCAGTCGCTAGCAGGCAAGAATGTTTTAAACTTGAAATTTGTGAAGTGAAAAGTTTATCGGGTGGTTTATCAGGTTGTGACGTTTTTGAACAAAAAAAAAGAAAATCGCTATTAGATCTAATATGGTTGACAGACAAAAATGCCTTAAGGAGTTTATATGTGCTTTCATATCTAAGCTCTTGCAGTGTAATATGGCTTAGTAAGTGTATGTGTCTCGCTAGGTAGGTGCTTGCCACAGTGCGAGCTTTGGGGGTTACTCTTGTGTTTTTTTTTTTTTTTGTTTTTTTTTTGTTTTCTTTATTGCTTGCATGTAGAGTGGTCCCAATGTGCTGCTCAAGGTGTAAGGTGCCGAGGGGAGGGTCGGGTTGGCGTGACTGCCTCTACCTCCATCTCCTTTACCTTCTCGCCTCCGACAAAAATGGCTTCAGCCCTCCGGCGGTCAAAATAAAAAAAGGAAATGTGGAAGATAAAATTGCCGTATAAAAAGTATGACATTTTTATTGAGGCTCAGAGACATGACGGATGTCCTGCAGCCTTCCTCTCCCATCTTGTACTTCCCAACTTTTTTTTTTTTTTTTTTTTAATTTTGTAAAACTTTATTTTGCCAACTTATATTATTTAATATCTTCCTTCTCGACGTGTTTTTTTTTTTTATGTATCTGCTGTATCCTACAGATCACTGGGTTATTCACTCCTGGAACGGATGGTTTGGTGGTGGTTATGCATGTAACGTACGAAGGGCCCGCGCCGAAGACGTGCGCGCCCTTCGCTGAGCCAGCCGTCACAGACACTGCAGTGCTATACTTTCTAAATCTCTTGTGGCCTTTTTTTAAGACTCGTATTTCCTCCTTTTTTTTTTTTTTTTTTTTTTTTTTTTTTTTCGGTTTTCTCCAATTTTAGTCTGACTTTTTTCCTTTTCTCTTTCTCAACAGTTTTTCTACTTTAAGCCATTTCTAAATAAAATTTCTGTATTTCAAGAGTGAATTCAGCTCCCGTGTTGTGTGGTTCTTTTTTTTTTTTTTTCAATATATACATGTTTTTGTTTGTTTTTTTTTTCCTTTTGAGTAGATTTTATGAAGGTTTGGTAAAGCTGGACTCCGGGCTGGCCCAGAAAAAAAAAAAAATGTCCGTCTTTCTTTACCAAATGCAGAACAGAATGCTTTTTTTTTTTTTTTTTTTTTGCCCCCTCATCTTGTCAGTCAGACTGGTAGGGCCTCTGCCCTATTTGCTGAGATAGTAATGGCAGTAGCAGCAACCAATACTGGTCCTGCGTTGCACTTGGTAATGTTGAGATCCCGACCACATTCTGCGGCTGGAGAGAAGACCAGAGCTGCGGGTTAGTTTATCAAAACCCACCAGCAAAAATGCGATCTGTTGGAGCTTACCAGTCCTTGGATGTTCTGGCTGCATTGGTTTTCATTTTTCAGGCTTTTTCCCCCATTTTATTTTTCACCTACTTTCCTTACAGATATTACACGTTTGTTCCTGGGTGGCTACACCCTACTCTTGTATCTGTGGAGGGAGCAGGGTTGTCACAAAGGTTGTATTCCTCTCCATCTCCATTATTTGGGGGATGGTTAGATTAGTGGTTAACGGGAGGAACATAACATTCAGTTCAGCTCACAGGAAATGATGAGGACAATACAAATCTAGCCAAGGTATTTTCTGTGCTCCTTAAAAATGTGTTTAGCTGGGGAAAGGAAAACTAATGCAGCCGCCACATCAAAATGCTAGTAAACTGCAATAATTTACATTTTAAGTCTTGGGTTTAGATATCCTTCAAAGTTACAATGGTTGTAAACCTTAGACATGGAAGTATGAACAAAGCGTATCCATCTCTAATGTCAACAAGTGTCATTTTTGTTCGCTGCCTTGTTTTCCTGACACCAGGAGAAAAATGAAGGCAAGGCAGGGGAGGGACCTCTAGCATCAGCTCTGTTCCTGTGTGCAGGGATGGTGTCTCTTCCCTCCAATCGGCTCTCAGAGCTCTCCTCACTGAGCTCTGCAGTGTGTGATCTCAGCTCTTTGTTCCCTGCTTTTCAGAGCTGAGAGATCCTGTGTATATTCAGCAAATTCACTGGACGTAGAGGAGAGGGTCGCAGATAAACTAGCGTTTTAGCTTTATAAATTCTGCACTTTCAATGGATGTAGAGAAGAGAAGACTACAGATAAACAGGTACAACTTATATAGGATGGTTTGTTTTATCTCCGTGTATCACCTGAGGCCAGTCATTGCACTGGGTATATGTAAGGATTTACAAACACTTTGAAGGGTACCGTCACCCCACACCCCCCCCCCCCCCTTTTTTTTTTTTTTTTCTTTGTCCCCTGAACACTCAGACAAGCTTTATAAATTCTGAAATTTTGAATGGATGTAGAGAAGACGTCAGATAAACAGGTACAATGTATGTTGGAGGATTTGATTCTTCTCTGTAAACCCATACATATACCCAGTGAAATGACTGGCCTCAGGTGATGTACAACCACTTGAAGTTTTTACTCAGCAATAGATCCTGCCTTAAAGGATAAGTTCACCTTTTTGACCAAAAAAAAAGTGCATTTGTTACATAATATATAACAAATTATTTATAAATATATATACAGTGGGGCAAAAAAGTATTTAGTCAGCCACCAATTGTGCAAGTTCTCCCACTTAAAAAAAATGAGAGAGGCCTGTAATTGGCATCATAGGTAGACCTCAACTATGAGAGGCAAAATGAGAAAACAAATCCAGACAATCACATTGGCTTTTTTGGAAAGAATTTATTTGCAAATTATGGTGGAAAATAAGTCTTTGGTCACCTACAAACAAGCAAGATTTCTGGCTCTCACAGACCTGTACCTTCTTCTTTAAGAGGCTCCTCTGTCCTGCACTCATTACCTGTATCAATGGCACCTGTTTGAACGTGTTATCAGTATAAAAGACACCTGTCCACAACCTCAAACAGTCACACTCCAAACTCCACTATGGTGAAGACCAAAGAGCTGTCGAAGGACACCAGAAACAAAATTGTGGACTTGCACCAGGCTGGGAAGACTGAATCTGCAATAGGCAAGCAGCTTGGGGTGAACACATCAACTGTGGGAGCAATAGTTAGAAAATGGAAGACATACAAGACCCCTGATAATCTCCCTCGATCTGGGGCTCCACGCAAGATCTCACGCCGTGGGGTCACAATCATCACAAGAATGGTGAGCAAAAATCCCAGGACCACACGGGGGGACCTAGTGAATGACCTGCAGAGAGCTAGGACCAACGTAACAAAGGCTACCATCAGTAACACACTACGCCGCCAGGGACTCAGATCCTGCAGTGCCAGACGTGTCCCCCTGCTTAAGCCAGTACATGTCCGGGGACCGTCTGAAGTTTGCTAGAGAGCATTTGGATGATCCAGAAGAGGATTGGGAGAATGTCATATGGTCAGATGAAACCAAAATAGAACTGTTTGGTAGAAACACAACTTGTTGTGTTTGGAGGAGAGAGAATGCTGAGTTGCATCCAAAGAACACCATACCTACTGTGAAGCATGGGGGTGGCAACATCATGCTTTGGGGCTGTTTCTCCACAAAGGGACCAGGACGACTGATCCATGTACAGGACAGAATGAATGGGGCCATGTATCGGGAGATTTTGAGTGCAAACCTTCCATCAGCAAGGGCATTGAAGATGAAACGTGGCTGGGTCTTCCAACATGACAAGGATCCCAAATATACCGCCCGGGCAACAAAGGAGTGGCTTCGTAAGAAGCATTTCAAGGTCCTGGAGTGGCCTAGCCAGTCTCCAGATCTCAACCCCATAGAAAACCTTTGGAGGGAGTTGAAAGTCCGTGTTGCCCAGCGACAGCCCCAAAACATCACTGCTCTAGAGGAGATCTGCATGGAGGATGGGCCAACATACCAGCAACAGTGTGTGCCAACCTTGTGAAGACTTACAGGAAACGTTTGACCTCTGTCATTGCCAACAAAGGATATATAACAAAGTATTGACATGAACTTTTCATATTCACCAAATACTTATTTTCCACCATAATTTGCAAATAAATTCTTTCCAAATCAGCCAATGTGATTGTCTGGATTTGTTTTCTCATTTTTTTCTCTCATAGTTGAGGTGTGTGTGTGTGTGTGTGTGTGTGTGTAAATTTTTTTTTTCAGGTGGACAAAAAAAAAAGTACTTTTTTATTTTTGTCTTCAGGAGCCTGGAAAGCATTGCACCAGCTATCAGTAGATCGCTGGTGCCATGCAGGTCTCCTGCAGACCTGTCAGAATGTCTGTTTGCCCTATGGGGTGTACAGCCAAGCAGATATTCTGACAGGAAACTTCAATTCACTACCACGGCTCTCCACCGCCCCATGGTAGTTCATTGAAAACTACAAGCCCACATCCATTAGGCTGCTGGGACTTAGGCCAGGTTCACATCTACGCAGTTTGCGTTTGATCCGTTTCTGCAGCGCTTTTTGCGGTGAGTCTTATGGGGTTTTTTTTTTTTTCACCTTGTTGCTTAGCAGAATAAAACTCATCAAAAACGCACTACGTGCTTTATTATAGCGTCTCCATTGAAGTCTATAGAACCAAAAACACAATGTTCTGGGTTTTAACCCCTTCCAGTCCGGACACTTTCCCCCCCTTCCAGTCCGGACACTTTCCCCCCCCCCACTTCCAGTCCGGACACTTTCCCCCCCTTCCA